CACCTCTTAAAAATGGCCTTGCAGGCAACACCCACTTCTGCCTTGCTGCATCACCAGATGGGGCTTTGCTACAAAGCACAAATAATCCAAATCAAGGAAGCTACAAAAGGGCAGCCTAGAGGGCAGAACAGAGAAAGGGTAGACAAAATGATAAGATCAGCCATATTTTATTTTGAATCTGCAGTGGAAAAAAAGCCCACATTTGAAGTGGCTCATCTAGACTTGGCAAGAATGCATGTAGATGCGGGCAATCACAGGAAAGCTGAAGAAATTTTTCAAAAACTGTTACGCATGAACCCAGTGGTAGAAGAAACAATGCAAGACATACATTTGCACTATGGTCGCTTTCAGGAATATCAAAAGAAATCTGAGGTCAATGCAATTATCCATTATTTAAAAGCTATAAAAATAGAACAGCCATCATTAGCAAGGGATAAAAGTATCTATTCTTTAGAGAAATTGGTTTTAAAGAAAGTTCAGAGAAATGCATTCGACCTGGAAAGCTTGAGCCTCCTCGGGTTTGTCTACAAATTGAAAGGAAATATGAATGAAGCCCTGGAGTACTATGAGCGGGCCCTGAGACTGGCTGCTGACTTTGAGAACTCTGTGGGACAAGGTCCTTAGGCACCCGAATATCAGCCACTTTCACATTTCATTTGTTTTTATGCTAACATGTACTAATCATCTTTTCTGCTTACTCTTTTCAGAAACATTATAATTCACTGTAATGATATAATTCTTGAACAATTACTCAAATCTGATAAAATATTAGTCGCATTCAACAATTAGTGAAACAGAATGTGTGTGTGCATGCAGGAAAGAGAAACCATTTGTATGAGTGCTATTTAGTAGAGAAAAACTATTAGGTAACTCTGTAGGAAATAAAATACTGGACTTAATTAAACTAAATGTTTGATTCATTCATTTTATTGTGAAATAAAATTCTTAGCTCCTTTACGAACAGAACAGACCCGCTCTTCTTTCTGGGGTCAAGGAATCCCCAGAAACCTTAAAAACTAAGTTTCCCAACCATGACAAGATGAGAGATCAGTCACACCTCATTATATTCCCTCCCTTGCTAACTGCCATTGGACTTTTTTCCCTGAGTTAAACAGAAACCCCTGGAAAGCAAAGAACAGAAGACTCACTCCTTGGCTGACTTCACCTAGCGCCACGGCCAGACTCTCCTCCCCTCTCACGGTTTCCACAAGACAACTGACCAGCCTTCCCTCCTAATAAGTGACCACCTCCCAGAGACTGGTTCTGGCCAGTCCATGGAGGCTCGCACAGGTTGCTTCTATGTCCTCTGTTTCACCTTTTGACATAGAAAGCCTATTTTCCTGCATTATAATGTTAAGTCTCCCCCACAAAGTGAACACAATGCATGTAACATACATGTTTGCATACCACTCTTGTGTGCCCCCATGAATATTCACAGCCCCCCACAGCCTGTTAAATGTGTATGTCTAGCCAATCCATTAAGCATAAAACTTCTGTAATACCCTCCCTCTCTCCAAGTGCCTGCTTTTGGTTGCTGTGGGAGGCTCTGCTTCCCAGGCTACAGGTTGTGGGAGAAGAGGCTGCTGTGGCTCACACCTGTAATCCCAACATTTCAGGAGGTCCAGGCAGGTACATCACCTGAACCAGGAGTTTAAGAGCAGCCTGGGCAATCGCAAAACCAACCGTCTCTACAAAAAATGTAAAAACTTAGCTGGATGTAGTGGCATGCGCCTGTAGCTCCAGTTCCAGCTACTTGGGATTGCTGGAACCAGGGAGTTCGAGGCTGCAGTGAATCAAGACTGTGCCACTGCACTCCATTCTGGGTGATAGAACGAGACCCTGCCTCAAAAAAAAAAAAAAGTTCTCTCCAAATGTATACAGCTCATGATTTTATATCAACACTATCAAGAAATAGCTTTCAGTGCAAGAAACCAAAAATATTGTAATAAACAGGCAAATATTCTTCCCAAACCTCGTGCAGTTTACAATTTAGTGAGAGACACAGATAGCCATATACAGTCAATAAAGGTTAGCTTTCTTCATAAAGACGTTTTAAGTTTAATTCAATGTTAAAGTGTTCCAAAGAGTTTATCTTGCTTTATCCCATTTTATTTGAAGCACTATTTACTAAGTCATTTGCTGATATTAATCTAGTTAAATCAAGAAATATTACATGAAAGCATTGCTAAATAATCATTGTCGGTAACAATTACCTTTGATTATGAATAATCACATTTTATTGAAAGGCAATGCACAACAAATAATACTGTAAGAAAGGAAAAGAAACAGTGTTACTGATCTTTCATTCTTGTACATGTTTTAGGGAAGAATATATTAGTTTCCTGTAGTGGCTGTAACAAATTACCACAAACTTGGTGACTTAAAATTTCACAGATTTATTGTCTTACAGTTCTGGAGGTCAGAAGTCTGAAATGGGTTTCAGTGAGCCAAAGTCAAGGTATTGATGCAGCTGCACTCCTCCAGAGGCTCTAGGTGGATAGTCTTTTCCAGCTTCCAGAGGCTGCCTGAATTCTTTCATCCATCTTCAAAATCTACAGTGTGGTATCCTCAAATCTCTCTCTCTGCTTTCTTCACATCTCCTTCCCTCCTCCGACTCTTTTGCCTCTTTCTTCTAAGGACCTACCAGGTCCACTTGGATAATTAAGGATAATTGCCCCATCCCCAAATCCTTGATTTAATAAATCTGCAAAGTTTCTTTTGCTATGTAAAGTAACATGTTCACAGGTTTTGAGGATTTGGGCATGGATACCATTGGGGGGGGCATTATTCTTACTCTTACTACCACAGAGCACCCCAAGAAAATCCCCAAATTCGGGGCTCCCAACACATTTTGCTTCAATTATTTAATATTTTTACTCCTTCCAATAGATATTGATTTCATCCATTGTCCTTAAGAAGGTAGGACAGAGATTATGAGACATCTCAAATTAAATGCTAAATTTTCACTGGAAATACATTTTTTCTTCAACTTTATTATTATTTTTTTATTTTTATTTTTATTTTTTGAGACGGAGTCTCACATTGTTGCCCAGGCTGGAGTGCAGTGGTGCAATCTCCGCTCACTGTAACCTCCACCTCCCGGGTTCAAACAATTTTCCAGCCTCAGCCTCCCTAGTAGCTGGGACTACAGGTGCATGCCACCACACCCAGCTAATTTTTGTGTTTTTAGTAGAGATGGGGTTTCACCATGTTGGTCAGGCTGGTTTTGAACTCCTGACCTTGTGATCCACCTGCCTCAGCCTCCCAAAGTGCTGGGATTACAGGCATGAGCCACCGCGACCAGGCCAACTTTTATTTTAAATTCAGGGGTACATGTGCAGGATGTTCAGGTTACATGGGTAAACGTGTGCCATGGTGGTTTGCTGCACAGATTATCCCATCACCTAGGTATTAAGCTCAGCATCCCTTAGCTATACTTCCTGATGCTCTCCCTTCCACCCACCCCCACCTCCAACAAGCCCCAGTGTGTGTTGTTCCCCACTGTGTCCATATGTTCTTATCATTCGGCTCCTACTTATAAGCAAGAACTTGCAGTGTTTGGGTTTTCTGTTCCTGGGTTAGTTTGCTGAGAATAATCATTGGAAATACTTGCTCTGTATTTAGATTTTAGAAAATTTGCAACTTAAAAAAAGTAGATTCGTGCACCTAAGTTTTTTCCAAATATTCTTTAAAGTTTCCTATTATCAGTTTTTGAATTTATATTAAATTAAAATTTCAGGTCCTTAATAGCCACGTGACTAGCAGTTTCTGTATAAGACAGTACAACTGTTAAAAGTGGTCGCCTTAAATGAGGTACTTGCCGCAGGCACTAAGTCTTAGGAGGTGGGGTACCAGAAGCTCAGTGATCAAGGTAGACAATATTTCAACGCAATATTTTTTTAAAAATACAAAATCAGGCCAGTAATGGTGGCTCACGCCTGTAATCCCAGCACTTTGGGAGGCCAAGGCGGGCAGATCTCTTGAGCCTACGTGTTGGAGACCAGCCTGGGCAACATAGCAAAACCACGTCTCCACAAGAAATAAAATAACTAGCAGGACGTGGGTGGTGCACGCCTGCGGTCCCAGCCACTCAGAAAGCTGAGGTGGGAGGATTGCTTGAGCTTTAGAGTTTGAGGCTGCCGTGAGCTGTGATCTCACCACTGCACTCCAAACTGGATGAAAGAGTAAGACCCCGTCTCAAAACAACAACAACAACAACGACAACAACAACAAAATCAAAACCAATGCAAAACATGAATTATGGACAGGCTATTGAGGTTTTGAACACAGACATTAAGTCAATAAGGGTAAGGCCCGTGTCTGTTTTCTTTGTTGTTATATTGACAGTACTTTGAACAAAGTCTGGCTTTTACAGTTGTTCCCCAAAATCTGCCGAATGAATTCATTAAACAAAATGTTTAATGTATGGCTGCATGACATTTTCTGCCTGGATTCCCAATACTACTCTCACTTTTATCGGGTCATTATTATACAAAGCACCCTTGGCAAAGATAGGGAAGAGAAGCACTCTCCTACAATTGTGGCTAGGAGTGGATTTTTAAAGCTATTTGGCAATATCCGTCCAAACTTAAAATGTATATAGATGTTAGCTCCAAATTTCTCTAGTTTACACCCAACAGAAATAAGGCACAGACGTATAGCCTTGTAGTGTTGCTTATTGAATCAAAAGACTGGAGTGGAAGCAGGAACTTCAGTTTCCGTCTGCAATCCCTGAACCTTGGTTGGCAGAGGCCGATCGCTTAAGATCAGGACTAGGTGACAGAGTGAGACCCTGACTCAAAAACAGTTAAGCGGACAGCACGCGCGCTCAGCGGACTCAAAGAGTCCGATAAGAGCCGAGACCAAGAAGTGAATGGGCCCCACTGCAAATTCACCTCCAAAAGACCCCGGACTCTGCAAGCGTCCGGCCGCAGCTCTGGAGCTCTTCCATTAAGTTTCGGTTTCGGAGGCTTCCATTAAGTTTCGATTTCTTAAGTTTCGGTTTCTGAGCGCTCGGGCATCAGATTCCATTTCCAGTTACCTGTTCCTGCTGGGGTTCCTCCTCTAACAAAGCCGCGCCTCCCGGCCGAGTCCCCGAGCTGCGGAGGCCCGGCTGGCGCGCGCACGCGCACACGCCGCCCGCCCGCCGCGCGGCTGCCCGCGGTCCCCGGTGCTGAAGACGGAGCGCGAGGGACCGCGCCGCCCGGACGGCCTGCGGAGCGCTGCCATCATGAGGTAAGGGCTTTCCTCCGCGTCTCCTCCCAAGCCTCGCGTCGGCCTTTGTTCAAACTGGGCTTCTTTCATTCATTTCCAGCGCAGTGCCGCGGCCTCTTCAGGGGCCGAGCCCCTAGCGCGCGGCGGCCGGGCATCTGCGTTGGGGACCCCGTCCCCCGGGCGCTCTGACCTGGCGCGCGGCGTCTGAGGTCCTGAAGTCGGGCCTGCCGGGGAGGGTGGCCGAGCGGATGCTTCCCCGGAGCCCCGTCCCTCCCGAGCGCTGGAGGAGGCCGATCAGGGAGGAGGACCCGGCGCTGCTCCCCGGGAGCCTGCCCCATCCCTGGCGTCCGCGGTCGGGGCCGTCGGGCCGTGTGCCGGCGACGCCCCCCGGGGGGCCTCGCCACCCCGCACTACCCAACGGCTCTCCTCGGCCGCGGCAACGGTAACCGGGCTGGGCCCGCGGCCGCCGCCTCCGGGAGGCTCGTCAGTCCGCAGAACCCCCCAGGGCGGTTCCGGGGGCGGCTGGGACGTGACACCGGTCTCCTTGGCCCTGTTGCGTGCCTCTCCCTCCAGCGGCCATTCCCTCCGAGTGTCACACGCGGTTTCGCCGCAGCCCTCCCGGGGTCGCATTCGCCAGCCACTGCCATTTTGCCTCTCTTCTTCCCTTACGCCGAGCTACCTCTGTACCACGCACAGATTGTTATCCTCCCACCCAATCCGCTGTTTCATGAGGATTTCTTTATCTGTCTCCTTTACTGATTCAGCACGATGGCGTCCTTTTCTTAATCATGTTGTGTCCCCAGGAGCTAGCACCCGGCCCTGCGTGTGGTTAGTGAACCTTCTGCATTTAATGAGTTGAGGAATGAGAGGTTACGTTCTTGGGCTCTGAAAGCATGTAGTCCCTGGTTCTAAATCCTGACTAAGCCCCTACTACTTGAGTGACCCCAAAGGTTCTTAAACTCTACGAGTCTGTTCCTTATCTGTAAAAATTAATGGCGTCCATCTCTTGGGACTGTGGAAAAGGACAATAATAAATCCTATCAATTGACTGCTTAGCACGTAGTACTTGCATAATAAATGTTAACTATTCTCATTATTATAAGTTTAAAAATGTTTCACTGCCACACATCTAATATTTGTAAGAAAGGAGAATGATATCAGGAAGGGGCTTGGAAAAAACTACCAGATAAAGGGGGTGATGTGCACTCTACATATGCAGGATGGGGAGGAACAGGGCTTAGCCCCATTGGGGACTGCCCCCCAAGGACAATAAAAGAATGCTTCTTCCTAGCAAAAGAACAGAATTACGAAAGATAAATGTTACCTCTTCTGGTACAATTCCTTCTCTCTTACCAGCTTCCCAGAGACAAAGTTACAAAATTAAGTAGACAAAGTTTAAACAGTAAAAATTCTCAGTGTCCAGTTGTGCATAAATTCCAAAGAGCCTGGACAAACCACTTCCGTACCTGACTGAATGTCCCTTTGAGATCTTACAGCCACATTCGTAATACCTGAGCAGCCCTCCTCATCCTCTTTGAGCTGGGCTGGTAGAGACCTTCAAAACAGGCAGACGTTTGTTTTACTCTATGACAGGCAGGGGGGCTGGTAGAGACCTTCAAAACAGGCAGATGTTTGTTTTACTCTAGGACAGGCAGGCCATATTGCTGTGGATTTGACCAGGCTTTAAGGACATGGCATGTCTTGCTCATGTTTTTGGTACAGTTACACTAGAGAAAGGAACAATTACCAAGGAAAATATTTACCAGGTTTCCTAGTCAGGATCAGTACTCATAATACAAAAATGGAATTTTCATATTAACTACTGAAAATGTATATATTTATTCCTAATTTTCAAGGGTGTACTGATTGCCAAAAGGAAATAGATACATGTAATATACAAAGCTCTGTCATCTCTCCAGAACTGTTTTTGCAATAAATAGTGAGAATTTAAATGAAATATTTCTAGGACACAACTGTTCATGAAGAAACTCTAGTATAAAGTTATGGGAACCTAGTGCTTTACCTGTAAGATCAAATAGGGATAAAATTGTTATGCAAAGATCAGTGTTTAAGGTTTAGAAAATAATTTCTTGTATTTCTTCAAAACTTAAAAAGTATTTTATCTTTGACAGTGAAATTCCTAAGGACACCTTGAAGGCCATTCTGTTGGAATTAGAATGTCATTTTACATGGAATTTACTTAAGGAAGACATTGATCTGTTTGAAGTGGAAGATACAATTGGGCAACAGCTTGAATTTCTTACCACAAAATCTAGACTTGCACTTTATAACCTATTGGCCTATGTGAAACACCTAAAAGGCCAAAATAAAGACGCCTTGGAGTGCTTGAAACAAGCAGAAGAAATAATCCAGCGAGAACACTCAGACGAAGAAGAAGTACGAAGCTTGGTCACTTGGGGAAACTATGCCTGGGTGTGTTATCACATGGACCAGCTTGAAGAAGTTCAGAAGTATACAGGTAAGATAGGGAATGTCTGCAAGAAACTGTCCAGTCCGTCTGTCTACAAGTTGGAGTGTCCTGAGATTGACTGTGAGAAAGGGTGGGCACTCTTGAAATTTGGAGGAAAGTATTATCAAAAGGCTAAAGCAGCTTTTGAGAAGGCTCTGGAAGTAGAACCTGACAATCCAGAATTTAACATCGGCTATGCTATCACCGTGTATCGGCTGGATGATTCTGACAGAGAAGGGTCTGTAAAGAGCTTTTCTCTGGGGCCTTTGAGAAAGGCTGTTACCCTGAACCCAGATGACAGCTACATTAAGGTTTTTCTTGCACTGAAGCTTCAAGATGTACATGCAGAAGCTGAAGGGGAAAAGTATATTGAAGAAATCCTGGACCAGATATCATCCCAGCCTTATGTCCTTCGTTATGCAGCCAAATTCTACAGGAGAAAAAATTCCTGGGACAAAGCTCTCGAACTTTTAAAAAAGGCCTTGGAGGTGACACCAACTTCTTCTTTCCTGCATCACCAGATGGGACTTTGCTACAGAGCACAAATGATCCAAATCAAGAAGGCCACGCGCAACAGACCTAAAGGAAAGGATAAGCTGAAGGTTGATGAGCTGATTACATCTGCTATATTTCATTTCAAAGCAGCCATGGAACAAGACTCTATGTTTGCATTTGCCTACACAGACCTGGCCAACATGTATGCTGAAGGAGGCCAGTATAGCAATGCTGAGGACATTTTCCAGAAAGCCCTTCATCTGGAGAACATAACGGATGATCACAAACATCAGATCCACTACCACTATGGCCGCTTTCAGGAATTTCACCGTAAATCAGAAAATACTGCTATCCATCATTATTTAGAAGCCTTAAAGGTCAAAGACAGATCACCCCTTCGCACCAAACTAACAAGTGCACTGAAGAAATTGGCTACTAAGAGACTTTGTCACAATGCTTTAGATGTGCAGAGTTTAAGTGCCCTAGGGTTTGTTTATAAACTTGAAGGAGAAAAGAGGCAAGCTGCTGACTACTATGAGAAGGCGCAAAAGATAGATCCAGAAAATGCAGAATTCCTTACTGCTCTCTGTGAGCTCCAACTTTCCATTTAAATACATACTCTAGGAAATTAGCTATAAGCTTTTCCCTCCATTTTGGGTTCTTCTATTTTTTGTTTTAATCCATTGTTTATTATAGAGTTAAGATTTATTGAACAGTTATTGCGTACCATGCATTGTGCTAAAAATTTTATATGCATTATGATGAATCTTGTGCTGTTTTCTTTTTTCTTTTTAACTAAAATACTATAATCCATTGAGAAATAGCAATATTTTAGCTGTTGTAACTTTTAAACATGGTATGGCCGTTATTATTGTGCTCTGTATCTGTGCTTTTCTTAATACTTTGCAGATTAAGTTTTGGCAAATTTCTTATATTATTTAGTAAGTATAATCCTATATAAACCTTTGATACCTAGGTCAGGAACACTCAGGAGTACAAAATTATTTATTAATACTTAAGCTCTTAACTATGTAAGACAGCACATTTTAGTTAGAGATGATTTGACTTTGGTAAGGATATTTAACTATCAATCTATTAGTCACCTAAAATATCTTTTTTGTTGGAAAAAAAGTTTATAACAAAAAAGTTTGTCATCTCTGGTGACTTCAATAAAAAGAAAAAAACTAGAAGAGGAGAAAAAATATTTTCTCAGATTTTAAATCTGTAACTTCAGAGATTCAATCCTCAAATGTTTATTAAGTAGCTAGAAATAATTTAAGTGAAAAAAATGAATAATGGAAAATAGTCTCAAGTTGTTCTGTTTTTTTTTTTAACTAAAAAACTTTGCACTGAATTTAGATGCCATTAATTTTATTCCTTCCAACTAAAATTACAATACTTTTAGGTTAAAATTATTGAGATATAAAGCAGCCATTGGGAAATTGGAGGAATGATAAACCAATGGAAAAAGGAGATGTCCCTACCCTACATCCCTAGATTATCAAGATTTCAGTGTACTAGTTTTGAATCTGTTCTGAATAGAGTTTTTATACCCTCATTTCTGGCCTTTGGCTATTTTAGCAAATCAAAATGACTTCTATGAAGCCTTTTTTTTTTTTTCAATGTGAAATTTTCAGAGTTTTTTTCACGTAGATTCTCTAGGAAGAGTTAAGTGCTGCTTTTAATTTAAGTTTTAATATCCACCTTGAGGAGTCACTGCTTGAGACTTTTATGCCAGGGGACTTTTTAATTCGGGGACGTTACTTAATGTGGCTTCTCTAATGTAGTTTGTTTGATTATAAACTATGCAATTATATGCTACCACATTATTAGTGAAAAAGTACCATGTGATTTAATTCTCCATTCCTCCAGTGTAACTCTTAAAATTATTATGTATGTGTGTTTTACTTTCTGTTACTTTTTATCTTTAAAATTTCTATTATGATTTGTTATAAAAATAATGAATTCTCATTGTAAATTCCAAAAAAAATTACAAAAGTATGTGAATTTAAAAATGAGAGCTGTCCCCTCACCTTACTACAGTTTCACATCCTCAAGGTAAACTAATAACAATTTGATATGTATACTTCCAGATCTTTTTTATGTATGCAGTCAGACATACATATATACTGCAGTGTAGCTCACATATTAATTTTTAAAAAATCTTTTGTTTACTTAATTCTGTTTTTTTAAATTTTGTTTGATCTCTTAAGGAAGAACAAGGAAGGGGATGATCTTTACTCAAGAATTTCAGAAAGTGGGTCGGGCGCGGTGGCTCAAGCCTGTAATCCCAGCACTTTGGGAGGCCGAGGCGGGTGGATCACGAGGTCAAGAGATCGAGACCATCCTGGTCAACATGGTGAAACACCGTCTCTACTAAAAATACAAAACATTAGCTGGGCATGGTGGTGCGTGCCTGTAATCCCAGCTACTCAGGAGGCTGAGGCAGGAGAATTGCCTGAACCCAGGAGGCGGAGGTTGCGGTGAGCCGAGATCGCGCCATTGCACTCCAATCTGGGTAACAAGAGCGAAACTCCGTCTTAAAAAAAAAAAGAATTTCAGAAAGTCAGCACTGAAGTCCTGACCTTTCAGTAAACACATTTGTCCCTTTCAAATATTTTAGGATATTACTTAGCAAAGCAGGCCATTTCTCCCACCTGAAGGTAAACAACTTCCATCACTTGCCACATAGTTCAGAAAACTCCCATTCAGGGGTCACTCAGACAGTGAATCATAGAAAAGATTATTTGCTTCATCAATTAACTTGTTTTTATAAATCAGCAGATAAGAGTTGTGCTCATACACAGAAGGGGCCTGAGATTTCTGCAGTTTAAACAAGCTCCCAGGTGAAGATGCTGCAGCTGTTCCTCTGATTACGTTTTGAATAGTGAGGTCTACAACATTGTTCCTCAAACTTGGCTGCATATTGGAATCATCTAAAAAGCTAAAACAAAACATGGATGTCTGGGTCCCACCCCACAGAGAATGATTTAATTGTCATGGGGTGCAGTCCACACATCATGATTTTTAGATTCCCCAGTTGAAACTTGTGCAGCAAAATTTGAGAGCCACTGATCTATAATGTGAAAAGTAAGTGTAAATGGAATAAAATTAATTAGGCTAATAGGCTTAACACAGGAAATCCTAAGTTCCTTGAATATCCAGTTTGCATTTGGATTCCTCATCATATGCTTGGTATATAATATTCTGAGTTGAATTGTATAGTATACTGCACCTACCTCTGAAAGCTGCCCTTACCAGTTGACTCAAAGCCTCTGAAATGGGTCCTAATTCTAGTAGTTAGATGAACTCATCCTGTCAAGACTAATAAAAATCCTGTGATGCCAGGCCCAAGTTCGTTTCTTACCTATTAGACAGACTCATAAATATGCCCAGAGAAGTGGCTGTGATTGCTATTCAGAGTAATTTGACCCTTCAAGAAAAGAAGTGCCTCCTCTCCAAATCTTTAAGGTGCTCTTGGAAACTATTTCATTCAGCACGAAAGCTATGCTTCCTGATTCACAAAAGCTGAGAAAAGCCCTTTCAACAAATGATAAATCAGCTGGCAGAAAAACTGGCTTCCCAGTAATGGAGCTGTTCTTAAAGATACTTGCTGTCCTTTCTGGGTGCAGAAATAGTCTTAGCAGTTGATCACATGCTGTCAGCCAGAGTTTCAAAAGCAATATATTCTCTAGACTGAGTCCACAATGCAGATTACTTCACTTCAGCCACAACCCTGTAGGCAACACAGAAGTTTCAAACCAGGAAGACCCTGAGAAAATGCCTGCTCCAACCAACTTCCTTGATAGGAAAATTGAGACCGGGACTGGTGATGACTTAAGGTTTCGCAACTAGTTTGTGGACCATAATTTATTTCTCTTGGCTCTTGGTTCAGCAGCACTCATCCCCATTTTGCAGTTTCTACCGGTAATCATTTGTTGTAGGCTAAACCTCAACTGACAGAGTTTATCTGGCCATGATGTGACTATGCTTATGTGACATCAACTATGACACAGGCAGGCCCAAGGTAGTTCTTTCATGGAATATGTTTATTATTGAGATTACAGAACATGACAGAAATATAAAACAAATTAATGTGGCATGTTTTTCTATAATTGGTGAATTATAAGAAATGAGAATCCATTTGGCCTTGACAATTAGAACAGTCTCCTTTGAGTAGTTCAAGTGTAATAACATTGTAACCCTAATGTGGTAGCCATCATAAGCACCTCTCAGATCTCTAGCTACCAGGATTGTAATTGTCTGAAGGTCCCATCTCTACACTCTGAATTCTAGCACTATATTTACACTGAGACCATGCTTCCCAGTGTGGCAAGGATACTAAGTCATGCCCTTTCCTGAGAGATGCAGTACTCCTCTGATGAGCAATTTAAACTCAAGGACTCTACACTAGTCTTGCCAAATGTTCCTTTAAAAAAATACTGTAATCTGAGATGTTTCTACCTAACTTTTCTTGGTTCTATATCTCCTACCTATGGTGTCAGAGCTGCATCACAGTTGGATTGCTCTTCCAACCTCCATCTGCTCTCTTCCCATTTTTTTCCATAGGTGTTTTCCCGAATACATTTCTTGCATGTTCAACATCCCATCTTGGATCAAACTGACACATCTAGTGAAAGAAATGTAATTAGAGGACCCTAATTGGCTGTAGATAAATAAAATTTACATAATGTATGTGTCATTTATTTTTCTTCACCTTTTTGGATCAGTAATTATGATTAAAGAACAAAACATGGCCGGGTGTGGTAACTGACTCATGCCTGTAATCCCAGCACTTTGTGAGGCTAAGGCAGACAAATTACTTGAGGCTAGGAGTTTGAGACCAGCCTGGCCAACATGGCAACACCCCATCTCTACTAAAACTACAAAAGTTAGCTGGGCATGGTGGCATGCACCTGTAATTCCAGCTACTTGGGAGGCTGAGGCTTAAGAATCACTTGAACCCAAGAGGCAGAGGTTGCAGTGAGCAAAGATCACACCATTGCCCTTCTCCAGCCTGGCCAACAAGTGAGACTCTAATAAATAAATAAATAAATAATTTCCAATTTTATAATATTTGATTTGGAAAAGAGAAGGAGTAAGAGAGGTAAGGGAAATTGCCTTAGTTTCTGTTGAGCTGCTATACTAGAATGCCTGAGACTGAGTACCTTATAACAAGCAGAAATTTATTTCTCACAGTTCTGGAGACTGGAAGTTCAAGAACAACGTGCTGGCAGATTTGGTGAGGGCCTGGTCTCTCCTTCCAAGATGTCACCTTGAATCCTGCATCCACTAGAAGAGAGGAACTCTGTTCCTCACATGGCAGAAGAGCAGAAGAGAGCGAGAACCCACTCCTGCAAGTCCTTTTTATAAGGGCATTAGTCCAGCCATGTGGGCAGAGCACTCAGAAATACCTCTCCTTAGGCCCCACCTCTCAGCACTGTTGCATTGGAGATTAAGCTTCCAACCCATGAATTTGGAGGAGACAAAAACATTCAAACCATAATAGAAGGATAGAGACTCAAAAAATACAGTTGAAGTTTGATGGAGTAAGAATTAAATATGCTACTATAACGTACAAAACTAAGTAAAAATTGAATTGTAACTGTTGCAACATGGAAGGAATTGGGATGGGAAGAATTCTTTAAATTTTATTAATTAAATCCTAACAACATAGCAGGAAATCAATAGATGAAGTCTATACTAAACAGATCAATAAATAATACAATAAGGCATACCATCACAGATTGGAATAGCCCCTTTCCAGAAAACTGACTTTCTTCCTCCTTCTCTCCCTTCAGAACAACATAGCAAACGTATATTTAATTTAAAACAAGTTTATCACTTAGCTTTCTGCTCATATATCCCCTCTCTTTCTGGTTAGACATCCTTTTTTCTCACAGGGCTCCAGCCTCCCCATTCCTCTCTACTTCTCTTTTGAGCCAAAGTTCCCTGCATCATTGAGATGTGGTTACTTTTCTTTAGCTTTCTCATTTCCTGAGATCAAGCCACACACACTAGATCCCACCCCAACCACAACTACCTCCTTCTTTGGAAATTGCATATTCACTAAGATAATGTTTGTTCATCAAACATTTTGTATTCCACTTTAAGTGAGGGAAAAAACAGCATCTAATTACTAGAAATGTGCATAGAAATGCCATGCATCTATTTTGGGAACAATTTCCCAAAACTGAACTGAGGGGTTCCTCTGAAAGTGATGAATCAGATTTCTCAACACCTCCTTTCATGATGGCATCTAGCTGAGTAACTAAAGGAATAGTGAAGGCGACATGAAGAAGCTCTGGGAATACCATGCCTCGATGGGAGCTCACAGGTGCCTCACAGACAACAAACTCTGAAGGGCGAGAATAGATTGATGCCACTTGGATTGAACATTTGGACAGAACACTATCTAGTGATCTCAACTCCAGTGACACAATGATAATCATAGCTAACTCTTACATAGTACACAACATCTGCCAGGTGCTGTTTTAAGTGCCGTGCATGTAGTAATCTTGTTAAATCATTACAACCTCCCTAAAATAGGCATTTTAATTCTTTCTTTTCACATATGAGTAATTAGGATATAGAGGCAGGCCCAAGGTCACATACCTAATAAGAGGTGAGAAAAGGATTCAAACTCTGGGTGTCTGGTTCTAGAATCTAGCACTTAGCTACCATATAATATTTTCTAGTCTTAAAATTTGGAATGAAGTCTATGGGAAGATAGGACCAAATCTTTATAGATCATAGGAGAGAGATTCTAGAGGATCACATCAAGCTCAGACATTCTACAGTCATAGGTCACCAGACACTGTTGGACAGAGATCCCCAAAACTCCCTGGAAGAAACCGTGAAAGGGAACTATTTGTGCACATCAGCTGCCTCTTGATGCTGGGATTAAAAGCTGCTCTGAAATCCCTGGGAGAACAGCCTAAGAAATTGATGGATTCAATCTAAGCAAGAGTTTGTCTCCAGAATTGAATTTTGGAATTCAAAGATTCATAACAAATTCCTTAGAAAAGGAAGTCACATATTTTGGAAGACTAAAGAACCAGTAAACACTTAAAAGCCAGAAAACATACCTGGTCCTTTGTCCTTGGAAGGTACTTGTGAACAAACCCAGTCCTTTGTCCTTGTGCTCGTGCACACACCAGCCAACATCAGACCCTCACC